AACAGAGCATTTTAAACTTTGGAGATGGTGACAGACTGATAATAATAATAAAGTGTTACTCAAACATGTGTGAATGAAACAACACCAACAAAGCTCACAAAAATCCATTTTACCTCATTTAAGACCTTAAAAAAAAAAAAAAAAACACAAGGACACACCTGCCGGGGACAGACAGTTTTATCCAATCAGAGACATGATAGAAATTGTGAGAATGACAGAGTGGGCGGGGCTTATACTTCTTTCTGAAAGCTGTTCTTCATTCATGGTTCATTGGCACAGACTCTTAGTCTAATAGTTCAACCGTACCTATAATTCTACATTATTATGTTCATACTCAGGGACATACAGAACACACATGCAGTGTGATAGTTTCATTTAAATCTTTACATATTCAACATGTGCACGTCTTTTAATGATGAAAAATAACATCCATAAGTGATAAAGTGCATGGAGCATTTGTTCTGATTTGTGCGTCCATAACACATACAAACATTATATTTGATTTTAGTTTAGCTGTTGTTCATGACTAGTGCTAATGCACATGATTAAAATGCATTCAAATGTAACAATCTTATAATCAAATGTATAATTAGAATGTGTGTATGTTTACACCTCTGACCACCTTATGAAACTAAATACACCACACCAGGAATAAACTGGGACTACACCAAGACTAAACCAAATGTGGACTGAACCAGGACTGACCCAGACCAAAACAGGACTAGGTCTAAACTAGTACTATTATTATATACAGGACTTAAGCCGTTCTATAAGGGCTCTGAAAAGCCCATGTATCATTGGTCAGTTCTGTTTCACTGACCACCTTTACATGCACCAAAAATCTGATCAATTTCTCATTTTTGGAGCCAGTGTAGAGGAAGTTCCTTTGGTGGTCCTCTGGACTTCTGGACTTTTTAAGATCAAGACATTTGGTTTCATCCAGAAGCCATTTTACAATGAAACTTTCTCGGCCGGTCCTGGACCAAAGAAGGACTCCACAGTCTTTGTGGAGCCAGGTTAGTGAAAGGTCATGTCAACAGAAATGTGTGGATCTAGTCCCTCATTAGTCCAGGAAAGATCCTTGGTAGTAAATGTTTCATCTGGACAGTGTGGTCTGTAAATGGAGATGTTTCAGCTGACCATCTAGAAGGAGACAGATGATGACTTCCAGATGGTCACTGAAACATCTTTTCTATCATTTTTTTTTCTTTTACATGTTGTATTGTAATGCCTCAGGATGTGATGTAAAATATTGTTGTTCTAAATATTTCATTTGTTTTGGCTCTGCAGATTATTGTCAGTAAAAGACCAGAAAAAGTCATCCAAATATAAGTTGAATGGTCAAAGGAAAAACTCAAAAAGTGTTGGCAGTGATGGCCGATATCTGGAATGTTTAGATCTGATACCAAGAAATACTGCGGCGAGTAATTTTACCAGGACAAATAAAGACTTCGTCAATTCAATCCATTTCAATCTTCAATTCACCTGAGCACAAACAGATCGAAATGTAAAAGTAAGACCATATAATTTTCTGGAGGTGGCACATCATGGAAATAGAAACTTAAACCCATACTTCAAAACATTGTCCATGGAGATAGATTAGTTTTAAGCCATACTGTGGAATATTACAGCCAAAGGAACCACATTGCCATGGAAACAAGCAGCAGGAGGCCCTACTTAAGCTCAAGTAAGAGTCAGGTTTGTGCAGATGCGAGCCCGTTCACACTAAGGATGTGTTTTTCCTATTTCAGTATAATCAAAAGTAAATAAAGAAAATTTATGTAAATATTTCAGTCTCGTTTTCCATAGTTTTAAACATATTTGCAGATAGTACTTGATTCATCTTTGTAAATGTAAATGTAAATGTAATGGGCTGATAAAGTCTCAGTTTTGCCAAATTCTAATAAATTGAAAAGACAAAAAATCTAAAAATGGCGAGCAAATCCGGGAACAATGCATCGGTAATGTCATTATGTACAGAGCTTTTATTGTTGAGTCTGGTGAAATAATTGCTCATGGACCTGTCGGAGTTACATCATTTGATTTCATTTTCTGTTCTCCTTCTTTACCTCCACCACAGCACACAGCAGGAGGCGCGGGAGCAGAGGGAGAGCCCGGCCACAGCTTTGTCCTGACAGCTCCACGAACACTGTGCACGCTTGAGTTTGTCACCAGAACACACACTACACACTGCACACACACACACACACACACACACACACACACTCCACACACACACACACACACACACACACACACACACACACACACACACTACACACTCACACACACTACACACTGCACACACACACACACACACACACACACACACACACACACACACACACACACACACACACACACTACACACACTACACACTGCACACACACACACACACACACACACACTACACACTGCACCAGCACACACACACACACACACACACACACACTACACACTACACACACACACACACACACACACACTACACACTGCACCAACACACACACACTACACACTGACACACACACACACACACACACACACACACACACACACACACACACACACACACTACACACACACACTACACACTGCACACACACACAGCACACACACACACACACACACACACACACACACACACTACACACACACACACACACACACTGCACACACACACACACACACACACACACACACACACACACACACACACACACACACTACACACTACACACTGCACCAGCACACACACACACACACACACACACACACACACACACTACACACTAACACACACACACACACACACACACACACACACACACTACACACTGCACCAGTGCACACACACTTCACACACTGCACCAGCACACACACACACACACACACACACACACACACACACACACACACACACACACACACACTGCACACACACACACACACACACACACACTGCACACACACACGCACACACACACACTGCACACACACACACACACACACTGCACACACGCGCACACACACTGCACCAGCGCACACACACTTCACACACACACACAGAACAGGAGAGGAGTCCCATATTAAACTCTTGTCCGTGTGCTGTGGCTCCTCTCTCGTTTAATCAGATCATTAAAAACATCACATTTTTATTTTTTGGCCCATTTTCTGTGATGTCATTGCTCCGTTGCTCTGGTCACCGCAAACACAAAGTGCATCTTAAACTCCAGGCCTGACTTTAGCTTTGGTCAAACTCAGGTTTATTTCTGTCATGGAACCAGTTGAGGCTTAAGCTAAAAATGGAGCTAGATTCAGATCAGGGTTTCAGGATAAGCCTGGATTTGTTAAGCCACGTTGATGGAATAACACCCTGGAGTTTGTTTTGTTTCATTCACATGTTTGACTAATCCATCTCAAACATGAGTGTGTCTTCAAAGCTCAAAATGCTCTGCTCCAGCACTTCCTGTATTACCACGTGACATCACACAGTGTTTTCTGTTAGAAAGAAAACTCAGTCTAAATGTGCAGAGTTTGTGTGTTAATGAAACAAAACACAACTCTAGGTCTGTTTGTGATGAGGAAACAACATTAGAACATAGATCAAAAAAGCATAATATGGGCCTTTAAAGTCAATACACCTTCAGCAGATTCTTATTCTTCACACTGCATCTCTGTTTTAAATGTTCACTTGTCATGTCACTTTCTGGAGCTGTCACATCACCTGGATAATTCCATGGAAATAGAAAATTAATGCCATACTTCAGGCATTCTCCACGGACATAGATCGTTTATGCTGTGAGTTTTTCAGTGCCATCTTTTTTGATTAAAAAAAAGTTACAAACTGTATCTTTAAGAGCGCTGCAATATCATATTCAGCTAAACTTTACAGCAACAGCACATGCTTCAGGCGAGACCTGAACCTGTGACCCTGTGGCCAAATGACAAACATCACACAGTGCTGCTCTGCATGACAATCGACAAAGAATCCAACGCTCTGTACTTGTATCTAATGAGAAGAACAGCAGCTCTCCATAGAAGGAGTCACAACATGCAGCACTTTGTTTTCTAGCACAGAAATCAATTCAGTTCTGTTCTAGTTTATTTCTATAGCACATTTAAAACAACTTCAGCTGACCAAAATGTTTCACATAAAAGTCAACAAAACAGAAGAAACAGTTCCATACACTACCGGACAAAAGTTTTAGAACTCCAGTCCAATGAAGAGCTTGAAATTATGACAAAAGAACAAAACACAATTCCAGGCTCTGTCAAAACTTCCTCAGGAAAAAAGAACAAGATGGTAAAGTTTAAAAACCTGGAGTGTCCAGACTTAAACCCCATTGACCTGGTTTGGGATGAACTGGACAGAAGAGTGAAGCAACCTACAAGTGCCACACATTTATGGAAACTTCTGCAACAGACTCGGGAAGAACTTTCTGAACAATATTTGATTTCTATTGTAGAAAGAACAAGCCACGAGTGTGTTCACCTGTTATATCTGACAAAAGTCGACACACATGAATCAAAAGTTTAGAAACAGTAAAAACTTGAAACAAGAAAAAGTGTTGTGTTCTAAATCTTTTGAAGATAGTGTACAGATATACAGAAAACATGTGAAGACTACAATAAAAACACAAGGATAACCTGAACAGCTCGTACTAAATGCAGGAGAAGAGGTGAGTGTTTAGTCTCATCTTAAACTGTTTTACAGACTGAGAGGATCTGACAGGAAGAGGAAGGCTGTTCCACAGTCACAAAAGAGTCTGCCACCTCTCACCTCGAGCCATGTTTTGGGTACGACTGACAGGAGCAGGTCTGGGTGGAGGACAGGGCTGCAGTGACTCCCTCAGACAGACTGGACCCATAGAGAGCAAACATTTGAACACAATTAATAACATTTTAAATTGCACTGGGAGCCAGTGCAGGTCACACAGCACAGTGATGTGGTCTCGTTTCTTGGTCTTTGTCACAGACGAGCTGCAGTGTTCTGGACGTGTTGTTGCTGCTGCAGGAGCCTGGTCCAGACCCACATACAAAGACCTGCAATAGTCCAGGCGTGATCAGTGTTGGGAGTAATGCGTTATAAAAGTAACCAATTACTATAATGCATTGCTTTTTGCTGTAACACAGTAATGTCACGGCATTACAGGAAAAAAAAATATATATATATATATATATATATATATATATATATATATATATATATATATTTTTTTTTTTTTTTTTTTACTCGGTACAAATGTGAGTAACGCACGTTTCAATGCTTTTTTAACCTGGATTGAAGTGGTGGGTTTTTCTTCAAACAAATTCACTAAAATCACCTCGATATCAGCAGTGGTGAAACACTGGAGAAGCGTCTGCGTAGATCTTCAGGTAACCACAGGCGAAAAGACCGACACACAACTCCACGCTGTTTAGACCTGGGTCAGTTCTGGTTTAGACCTGGTTTACAGTCATCTATCGCTCTATCGTGGTTCATCTTTTGTGCTCTTGCTGTTTCGCTGTTTTTTTATTTTTTTTTTGTGTGCAATTTTACATGCTTTTTGTTTTTACAGTGTATGAACATGTATTGTGTCCCTCCCGCTGCGTCCTGATTGGCTGATGGACTCGTGTCTCCTGTACAGTACAGCATGTGTTCAGCTTGACAAATGTACATAAATGTTGGATCTGTATCAGTGTGATTCTGAAGTGTTGTATGTTTGCAAGTTTTCCCCCCGACAAAACCCACAATGTCGATGAAACGTTCTGCACCGACAAAGACTGCTGTGCTGGCACCCAAAAGACAGAGGAAGATGTAACCATCACACAAAACACGCTGAAGGAAGGGGGAAGTTACGCGCTGTAGGAGAGTCTTGCACCGGGTCGGGTACACGCAAATAGCTGCTGAAATCAGGACCGCGAGCCTCCACAACAGGGTGTCCATAAAGCGTGATCAGGCAACAGTCACTCTTACCTCCGTGAGGTGCGGAGCAGAGCCGCTCCTTTCTCCTGCGGTCACCTTTGAGCCCGTCCCTACAGTGAGTCCTGTTTTAGTCCTAGTTCAGTCCTGGTTTAGTCCTCCTCTTCAGTCCTAGAATCAGTCCTAGGTTAGTCCTGTTATAGTCCTGGTTCCGTTATGATTTAGTCCAGGTTCAGTCCATATATGCCGCAAAAGTTCAGAATCTTCGCAGTTATTTTGGTGAGAGCAACAGTAATGTAATGTCTTACATTTTAAATGCAGTAATATTGTAATGTAACAAATTACTCTGAAATGACAGTAATAAGTCATAAATAACACATTACAGTTTTAAAGTAACTTGCCCAACAGTGGGCGTGATGTTACAAACGCATGGATCAAACTTTTTGGAAATCTGCCTTTGGGGGGTCAGCTTTTCATTTAGCAAAGACTCAACTGAAAGAAGCTGGACTTTATCACAGAGTTAATGTGCTCGTCCAGTTTGAACAGAGTCACAGTCAGTCCAAGACTCCTCACTGCACGAGACGAGAGGAGGACAGAGAACAGTCACTGTCCTGTCCCAGCACTGGGTTAGTTTGCTCAGTCAGCGCTCTTCTTTCTTTTATGAAGTTGTTTTAGGTCAATATTGTGATTTAAATGTCCAAATGATCATAGCGCGATCCACAGGTGTTAAAGATTAAACCTACAGAGCACGCGAGCACAAACTCTTTTTTTATTATCTCCACTAAAATATACTAAAAGTAGTTTGATAGATTCCATTGTCCTCAGGTGGTGTTGTCCTGTTGTCTTTGAACGCCTCGTCAGCTCACTCTCTCTCTCTCTCTCTCTCTCTGCTCACTCGCTATCACACTCTCTCTCTCCTCCTGCCATCTTTCTCTCTCTCATTCTCTCACTTCTGCTTCCTTCTCACTCTCTCCTCTATCTCTCATTCTCTTCTCCTCTTTCTCTCCTCATTTTTCTCAATCACTCTCTCCTCTTTCCTTCTCACTCTCTCCTTTCCCTCGCTTTCCCTATCTTCTCTTCCTCTCTTACTCTCTCTCTCACTCACTCTCTTCTCTCTCTCCCTCTCCCCCTCTCCTTTCACTCTCTCTCTTCCTTTCTCTCTCTCTCCTCTTTTGCTCTCTCCTCTCAGTCCCTTTTCTGTCTCTCTTTTCTCCTCCTCTCTCCCACTCCCTCTTCCTTTCTCTCTTGTCGTCCTTCTCTCTCCTCTTTCCTCCTCTCCTCTGCTCTCCTCTCTGCTCTCTCCGTCTGTTTTGTGTTTTCTTTTTTAAATGTGAAGTGCTCTTTAGTGCCAGGCCTGATTCTGCTGACAGAGGGATGGAGGGATTGGCTTGTTGGCAGCGCTGCTCTCCTCTCTTCTCTTCCGCCGTCATTTCATCAAAAACGATCGGAAAAATGTATCCTGGAAGAACGCCCCGGCCCGTGGGAGGAGGGCGGGCGGGCGGAGTTTATTGGGTTTGAACTTTGACTTCTCAGGAAAAGAAAGACTTACAGGAGAGACAGAAGGAGAGAGAAGGAGAGAGAGAGAGAGAAGGAGAGAGAAGAAGAGAGAGAAGGAGAGAGAGAGAAGAGAGAGAGAGAGAGAGAGAGAGAGAGAGAGAGAGAGAAGAGAGAGAGAAAGAGAGAGAAGGAGAGAGAGAGAGAGAGAGAGAGAGAGAGAGAGGAGAGAGAGAGAGAGAGAGAGAGAGAGAGAGAGAGAGAGAGAGAGGAGAGAGAGAGAGAGAAGAGAGAGAGAGAAGAGAGAGAGAGAGAAGGAGAGAGAGAGGAGAGAGAGAGAGAGAGAGAGAGAAGAGAGAGAGAGAGAGAGAGAAGAGAGAGAGAAGGAGAGAGAGAGAGAGAGAGAGAGAAGAGAGAGAGAGAGAGAGAGAGAAGAGAGAGAGAGGAGGAGAGAAGAGAGAGAGGAGAGAGAGAGAGAGAGAGAGAGAAGGAGAGAGAGAAGAGAGAGAGAGAGAGAGAGAGAGAGAGAGAGAGAGAGAGAGAGAGAGAGAGAGAGAGAGAGAGAGAGAGAGAGAGAGAGAGAGAGAGAGAGAGAGAGAGAGAGAGAAGGAGAGAGAGAGAGAGAGAGAGAGAAGGAGAGAGAGAAGGAGAGAGAGAAGGAGAGAGAGAGAGAGAGAGAGAGAGAGAAGAGAGAGAGCGAGCCCTGCAGGTGCACTGTTCCAGCTCTTATAGACATTTTGTGTGTGGGTGAGTCTGGAGATATTGAGCGGACGAGATGCGGAACCAGACACAAGGGTCAAAGTTCAAGTCCTTAAGGGAGACAGTCGGATGACCTTTGACCTCACTGTAATCTCATCTCTACACGTGCTACAGTCTGGGTCTGACAGGTGCACATTCTGCAGGACAGGTGCACACTGGAGACAGCTGACATTGTGACTTGCAAATGTTCTTAAAGAGGGATAATTGTTTTAGATTTGATTTGCACATAGAGTAAAAACAACATTTCAAACAGGTCGAAGTAAAAGAAAATGACGGTGCAGGGAAGAATGAGAAGAACTTTTCAGTCTTATAAGATCACTTCATCTATGAACAACAGCCATGAACAGGGAAGTTGACTTTCAGGAGTCCAAATATGAAATATCATTACACTTTTAGTTTAGATAAGCAATAAGCAGACAGATCACACATCAAACATAAAGTGTCCTTTTACAGAGGTCCCAGGCTTTCAACATAAACTGAGCCAACCTGAAAACATTACATTTAAACAGATACTTCAGTCTCTCCTCATCAGACACAGCAACAAACAGTAAGACACATTAAAACATAACTGACAGAGCAGCTCATGATACAGAGTCAGCAGACAGTAAAATAGAAAATGCATTTCATTTTCAGTGTCCTTTAAGTCACACAGACACATGTGCACTCCTCCTCTGGGACTGAGTGGAAGCGTCTCGTCTCCAGAGGCAGAGTCCCACACCTCAGCTGGGCACATACTGACCTCTGACCTCTGCTCAAGTTCAGGGTCTTTAATTAAGATATATGTTCTTAAGTTTGGTTTACATCAAATTTCATTGTGCCACTTTTGTTTATACTTATCAAAGTAAATGTATAAAGATTAATTTATTAATCAATGTTTGTTTTAATTGTCTTTTAAAATCGTCCAATGAGGAAATCATTTTGAGAGTCTGGGTTCGATTATTCCAGAGGGTCGGCCTCTGAACTCAAGTCTTCTGTGATTTGTGGAAGTTCTGCACAAGGGAAAATCAAAATCTCTGCAGTGCCTCATAGTTTAGGTGTGAACATCTGAAGAGTCATTGAAAAAAAAAAAAAAAAAAAGCCAAAAGATCAGAGTAAAACTTTTGACAAATGCACAGACTTACACACGAACAGACAAATACAACATATGTGACATGAAATACTGTCAGAATATTGTATTTTCTGAACAGAGGAGCAGATGAGGACAATCTGTGTGAATAATTCATAATTCTAAAACATTTCTTTTGTATTAATAATGCTTGTTGATGTTTGTCTTACATGTAGAACCATGTTACAATACATGATATAAGGACAGATTAAACTATAATATCATGTCATCAGGCATGACACATTTAAACAATGGATTTCATCATTTTTCTACAAACATGTTGGGTATGATATTTCCAGGTTGGTTTTTGATCAACAATTACTCCTAAAAACTTGACAGTGTGACATTTTGACGGGATGTTGTGTGTGTGGTTGTGTTGTTTTACCTGTAATGCTTTACACACATCACCATGTTACCTTTTATTGTTCTGAAATGCTACACTCACTGAAAACAGTGTAATGTATTAACATGTTTTGGCCTAATTCTCATGTGTAGCTCTTCCCCTTAGTGTATGGAATTTAAAAAACACAGTGGAGCACATGACATCACAAGGTGGAACAGAGAGAGGAACTCATCTTAAATGTGCAGAGTTTGTGTGTTAAACTTGTGTGAATGAAACAAAACACAAGTCCAGATCTGTTTGTGATGAGGAAACAACATTAGAACAGAGATCAGAAAACCTTTAATATCTCAATAATCTAAATAGAATTCAAAATCAGTATATTTCAAGTAAAAATGAAAGATCCTCTCTTGCACAA